GGGAAGAGTGTTCATGGTTCTCTCAGGCCTGACTCTCAGGCATGTTCAGAAACTGATAACTACTTCCATCCTTCCCCTAGCCACACTGTCCTGCAGTTTCCTTATACGTTGGCTTTTGCCTCCAACTTGATAGAAAATAACCCACTGAAGAAGTGAATTGAGCTAATACATACAGAAATATATAATGTAAATAGAATTGAAAATCCATGCCGATTGTGAAGCTTAGTTTGTTTTGTGTCACTGTACCAATACTGCCAACTGGGTAATTTATAAAGAAAGGAAATCTAGGTTCTCATAGTTTTAAGACTATCCAACCTCAGTGTGGCAGCATCTGGTGAGGAGCTTCGTGCTGTGTATTTCCACCATGCAAATGGTAAGATAAGAACGTATAGCAGAGCGACAGAACCAGAGTAAGGAGTGGATCTCACTGGGCTCTCTGACTCTCTCCTGGATGAAAACCATTAATCCGCCCATGAAGGCAGAGCCCCCAGGAATGAGTCACCTCTTATTAGACCTCATTCTCCCCCACAGGTGCATAGGGCGTGAAGTTCCTAACACATAAACTTAAGGGGGCACATTCAAAACAGAGGCAAAAGCCATAATTCCTCCCATCTGTCAACCATAGCCAATAACCAGGAAGTGCATTCCTTTTAGATTTTTTTCTTTGGGATATGGTGGTAATAAGTAACTAAAAAAGTAAGCCATAACATACAAAAGATGATCATACCCTTTTCATCAATGGCATACAAATGGAAAACATTCAGCAGTTGCCTTCATAAACAACAGGAAAATAATATCTGTATCACATAATTTCAAAATTCTTATTCTTATAATTAAGTAGCAATAAAATTTGGAAATGTTTCATTTTCTGAATGGATTTCCATTAGCTACAAATTTTATTTTGCTGATCAGGAAAATGTGAATTAAAACAAGGTATGATTTCCCTATTAGGTCAGTGAAAATTAAAGTACAACAGTATTTTCTGAAACTGTAGGAAATGGTAAACAATATAATGTTTTTGTTATAGCAACTTTGGGACTCATTTTGAAAATACCTAGTAAAACTAAGTATGTATGCAACCTGTTACCCAGCACTTCTATTCCAAAGTATACCTTAGAAAAATATTCAAAAATATATGCATGAAGAGAAAGGTACAAGGAAGTTCACTATAGCATATTGTACGGCTGTGGTCCTAATCTGAATATCCACCCTGATAAATTACTGTGTGATGTGAATTATTAACATGAAGTCAGATTTAAAATATTTTTGAGTAAAAAATAAAGCAAAGTGAAGGAAAGAATATCATATAATTGTATGTGTTTTATGAGTTTTCTTTGTTTTGTGGTACTAAGGATTAAACCCAGGGCCTTCACACTGAACTGTATCTTCAGCCTTTTTATTTTTTAAAATTTTGAAACAGGGTCTTTTTAAATTGCTCAATTGTCACCTAGGCTGGGCTCGAACTTTACAATTTTCCTGGCTCAGCCTCTCAGTGCGAGATTGCAAGTATGTACCATGCCCAACTCGTTTATGATTTAGTAGGAGATATTTTGGTTTGTTAGAGTGAGAGCTGAACAGACCTACCTCACTGATGTTTGTGGTAATTTCTAGAGAGGGTTGGGACTAGATTTAAAGTGATAGTTAAAGGAAATTAGTTATTTTGTATTCGTTTCCTAAGGCTGCCATAACAGAAGACCCCAGACTAGATGACGACAATAAAAATTTACTCCCTTACAAGTGAACAGATGTCGGAATCAAGACTGCATTCTTCTGAGCAGCTGTCCATGGTTCGCACATAAGGATCATTCTCCCTGTGTCTTCCTCTCTGTGCCTGTGACTGCATCCTAACCTCCTTTTATTACAAATGATGTCAGTTGCATTGAATCAGGACCAACTCATATGACCTCATGTAACCTTCAGTACTCATTTAAAGTCTTGATGTCCAAATACAACCATAATCTGAGGGTTAGGACTTCAAGATAAGAATTTGTTTGAGGGTAGGAGGAACAGTTCATCCCATAAAATTCCTAACATTTATTTTTTAAATAAATAGAATTTGGATTTGATATTGAGGTTAAAAAATGGCAGTAAAAGAAAACTATAAAATTGTTCAAATCAATTTGGTCTTCCAAACTTTAAGAATAATGTAACATCAGAGTGCTGATATTGGTTATCATTGAGAGGTGAAAGTGGAAGTGTGTGGGGGAATATTAACTTTTATTTTATTTTATTTTACTTTTAAGGACAGTCTTAGATTTACAGAAAAATTACTCAGAGAGTAGAGTTCCCACATACCCCAAATCCAGTTTCTCCTGATGTTTACACCTTATATTAGTCTGGTACATTTGTTAGAATTCATTAACTAATATTGATTAAATATTAAAGTCCATGCTTTGTTTATATTTTCTTAGTTTCTACCTACCGATCCTGAATACCGCCTTGTATTTGGTGTTCATATCTCCTTAGCCGCTTCTTGTCTATGATAGCTTCACAAGCTAACTTTTTGTGTCTGTATGTGATGACATTGAATAATTTTGAGGAGTACTTTTTGGGTATTCTGTAAGATCCCTTCTCTTGGAACTTGTCTGATATTTTTATCATGAACAGACTTGGGCTATGGGTTTGGGACATAAAGATATATAGGTAAAGTGCTATTTTTATCACATAATATCACAGGTACCTGCTATTAACTTTGCACATCTCTGTTGTCATTAACCTGGGTTAGTCTTGGGATTCTCTACCACAGCTTACCCCTTTACATACAGAACCTCTTGAACCATGCACTGTGGGAAACCCACACTTAGAAGTGGGGTGCTAAGGCGTGAGCATCCACAAAACTTATTTGGAATTCTTCAGCAAAGGAGGTTTGTTGCTTCTCCCTCATTTATCCATCCCAACTTTTTTGCCTTATTTCTTTAAATCTCTTGATATAATATTACATGTATTAATATTGTAATTATTGTAAGATTTTAAAGATATCTAGATAACAATTGATCTTAGTCCATTCAGGTTGCCATAACAAAATGCAATAAACTTGGTGGGTTATAAACAGCCGAAATTTATTTCACACATACTTGACCCTGGGAAGTCCAAGATCAACGCACTGGCAGTTCAATATCTAGTGAGAACCTTTTGTAGTCTGCTTTCTGTTAGCATAAAAGAACCTTTTGTAGTCTGTTTTCTGTTAGCATTAAAGAACACATGGTCATTTATGAAGGTAAGAGGTTTATTTTGCCTCACTCTTCTGGAGGCTGCGAAGTTCAAGATGAGGTGGTCACATCTGGTAAGGATCTCATGCTGCTTCAACTCAGGGTAGAAGGGCAAGCAGATATGTACTGAGGAAGTTAAACCTCAGGGGCCCACCCTATTTTGTAAAAGTCTGCTCTAAGAGTAAATAATCGGGTCCCCACAAAGTAGGAACTCAGGCATAATGGCAGTGCTATTCATGTGCACTCTACCCCATTACCCAAACACATGTGACCAGACCTCACCTCCCAGCACACTGCACTGAGGCATGAAGGCTCGAACACAAGAATTTTGAAGGATACCAAAACCACAGGAGGGCCCTCTTCCTGGTTGATCGATGGTGACTTTATCCTCACATGGTAATGGTTGAGAGTTTCTTTGGGCCTATTTTATAAGGGTACTAATCCTAGCCCTCAAGATTTTGCTCCAAGGCTCTTCACATCTCCAGAGGCTCCTTTTCCTAATACCATAACCTTGGGGGTTAAAATTTTAACATGTAAAGTTTAGGGAGGACACAATTATTCAGACCACAGCACAATTCATTAACTGAAGAATTAAACATTAGGAGATACAAAGTTATCAGAAAGGACTATACGTTTCAAAACTATAATAATGTACCGATTCAGGATTAGTCATGTCATTCTTTATAATACAGAAAGCAGCTTACACACATTTAAGATGATTTCTGGTGTAGAGAATGCGAGGGTTCGTCTTTAGATCAAAGATGAAGCAGACAGAAGCATTTCCTGTTGTATGTCAGTTTGGAGTTTAACTTTACAGTTTTGTAGCAGACTGCAGGTTGTCAACCCTTGCAAGCAAAATTTTGACTCTCCTATGCACACATCATGTACTTCCTGTATACAATTAGAAAGTTTTCATGGGGTAAAACTTTTCAAACATCTATTATCTCATTCCACTTTACCCCAGAAAGAATGGCTGCTAAAATCAACCAATAACAAATGTTGGCGGGGCTGTGGGGAAAAAGGAACCCTTCTCCACTGTTGGTTGGAGTGTAGACTGTAAAAATCAGTATGGAAATATCTCAAAAAACTAGGATTAGAGGTCCCATTTGACCCAGCTATCCCCCTGCTAGGTATCTTCCCCAAAGAATTAAAAGAATCATATCACAGTGATATATGTGCACCCATGTTCATAACAGCACAATTTGTAATAGCTAAAGCTTGGAAACAGCCCAAATGCCCATCAACTGGAGACTGGATAAAGAAGATGTGGGGGTTTTTAAATAAAATGGAGTACTACTCAGACATAAAGAATGAGAAACTAGAGACATTTATAGCTAAATGGATGCACATTGAGGCAATACTCTTAAGTGAAATAGGACACACGTGTAAATACTGAATAGTTTCTCTACTGTGAGAAACTGAAAGTGTAGATAAGGATTAAAATGATTAAAACAAATAATTGATTATTTGAAATAGGAAGAAATGGTCCAAAAGGGTAGGGGAAGTGGGAGGGGAAGGGGAAGGGGAAAGGAAAGAAGGGAAAGGAAAAACGGACACAAAGTCTTTGTAAATAGGGTGGGGTGGAGGGATTGAAGGGAGGGCAGGGGCAAAAATAAGAACCAAGATATATCGTGTACAGGTACATTCCCAATAATGAATGTCAGCATATTATATACCTAAAATGTGCCAATAAAATTAATGAATGAAACAAAAAGATCTATTATCTCACCATTTCTGCCCCTTGGTGGTCAGTATTGACTGATATTTCTCCACATTGTAATTTTTTTCCAGATATTTCTGTCAGCCTGTTAGCAGTCGTCGTCAGCTTCTGTGGCCTGGCCTTGTTGGCTGTCTCACTTTTTGTCTTCTGGAAGCTGTGCTGGCCATGCTGGAAGAGCAAAGCCGTGACTCCCAACGTCAGTATCCTCCCCCAGAGCATCTCAAGGGCTCCTACAGAGGTTTTTGAGACTGAAGAGAAAAAAGAAGTTAAAGAAAATGGAAAGCCAGCGCTAAAAGCTCTTGAGCCCGCAATAAAAATTAGCCACACTTCTCCTGATATCCCAGCAGAAGTCCAAACTGCTTTAAAAGAACATTTAATTAAGCATGCACGTGTGCAGAGACAAACTACTGAGCCTACTTCTTCATCCCGGTAAGGAGGGATCCAGTACATAAAACCATCGTGTGCGTGCATGTGTGTGGTGTGTGTGTGATTTCACCAGAGCAAAGAATTAAGGTGAGAAGGAAGAAAAGGAGAGACCAGAGCAATTGGGAAAATACAGAAAATGCAGAATTTAATAATGAAAGACTAGGGCAGAGGAAGCAGAGGAGGTGAGAGAACTGAGGAGAGAGGAGTAGTTCTGGGAAAGGGACTTGGGGGGAATTCGAGGCCTCCCCAAAATCATGTCAGGTAGATGATTATTTAACTCTTTCCTGGAAATGTCATTGCTTGATAGATGTTACTGGTAGTCTTTGGGTGTAGTTTAATCAGCCAATAAATATTGAAAAGAAAACCCTAGCCATTTGAAATGTATATAATAGAGGCCCAGCACTCAGGAATTATCCAGCAGTTTACAGTCACCACTAACAGAGACTGATGTTCACTCTACAGTTATTGAGCACCTATGCTGTAAACATGAATTGCTGGAAAGTTTCATTGTTCATTTGAACTCATGTAAACAAATTTATCCAGAGCAGTTCCACTAGAACCATAAGAGAAGAAGACTTCCTTTAGGAAATGCTTCCTTATCAAGCTTGGAAAAAAGCAGCAAGTTTGTTTGGATAAAAATAATTTGACACATATATCAAATTGTACTAACTATAGATGGAAAAGACGCTGCTGAAGAGGCATATTTTTCTGCTATCTACCGTTATCTACCATTTCCAGCTTATTAAATTACTTTCTAAATCTGCCTCTCTACCGAGGGTGTGTCTATGCTTTTTGAAAAGATATACTTTTGTGGGGTTAGAAATCTATCCAGCTGAACAACTGGATTATGTTTGCTGCTAGGACTGAGAGACTATTCAGTGTATCTTTTGTATAAATAGAATAGGATTTTGTTTATTAATAAATTCCCTACATCTGAAATATATATATATATTTTTGGTACTGGGGATCTAACTTGGGACCTTGTGCTTGCTAGGCAGGCAGTGGAACCACTGAGCTAAATCCTCGGCCCTGAAATATATTTTAGAGAGATAAGAACAATCATTACTTATCACTGAAGTAAGGAATTTGAGGATAAGAAAGATGGATCAAGATGTCTTTACTATGTTACGCTTTTCTACGCTACTTAACGTTTTACAGCCAAGGCATGTTTTATGTTTAGTTATTATTTTAAGATTTTCTGAATAGTGGCATTTGGGATCATCTTTTTATGGCTCTTATGTAATGTAACCCAGTAAATGTTAATTTTAACTATACCATATCAAATAAGCTACTTTTCTTTACATGTTGTAGAAATGGGCGGAAAACACTTATGGAGGATTTTTTTTTTTTTGGTATAGGGACCAAACTTGGGTCCTTGGGCTTGCAAGGCAGGTGGCAGAGGATTTCTTTTTTTTTAAATATTGGCTCCTGTTTAAAGTGATATGGTTCGCTGATTATTAATATTATTATTATTCCTGAAAACTAGGGGCAAATATGATGTTTAATTTGCACAAAGCCTTCAGATGCTCAACAATTTTAGTATAAAAAACTTGAATTAAACAACCAAGCACTTTTAAAATACAGTCTTTCAGGCCGAGGATTTAGCTCAGTCAGTGGTCTGCTGCCTGCCTCGCAAGCATAAGGTCCCGAGTTCAATCCCTGGTACCAAAAAAGAAAAAAATAATTAATTAAATACAGTTTTTCCCTTTGTCCTTGTGGGAGGCCTTCTAAGACCCCCCAGTGAAAGTACCAAGCTCAGCAAATGCTATCCTTTTTCCTATGCGTACAAACCTATATGATCAGTTGATTGAATAAATACATACCTATTTAGCTAATAAATCAGGCAAGTAAGAGATTAACAACAACTGGAAAATAAAATAGAATGGCAACAATAAACTGTCACTGAAGTTATGTGACTCTGGTCTCTTAAAACATTGTACAGTATTCGCCCCTCTTGTGATGATGTGCAGGGCCTGTGTAAGGCAAAACAGTGGGGTCAGTAAGGTAGGCTGTGTGTGGCAGTGTTGGGTTACTACCAAAAGCCTGCTTAAGGACAGCCGCCGTCCAGGTGGATCTGCATCTGTTATGGCTGCTGAGTGAAACCATGGTGAGGATCGTGTGCAGGTGGGTACGTTGGACAAAGGGATGATTACCACTGGCCGCTAGTAACTGACAGTCATCTAAAACGAAGGAAAGTAAAGCGAAGGCTAAAGGGAACTACGACACTAACAAAAGCAGTGAATACCTATCAGCTTAGTATTCACAATTATTCCGTTCTTTTAGTTGATAAGTACCTGTCACATAAGGGAACTCAGTTAATGAAGACACACTGAGTTAATCAGCATTTTTAGAAGTCTGAGAATTTCCATCTCCAAAATGTTGTCTGTTGACTATGCAGAGACAGTTTCTTTGCTTACCCCTAGCTAGAGCACAGTGAAAGAGTAAGTGCAGAAAAATCCATGAAGACTTGGCTTTGGACACAAACTTGGCTTCTGGAAATAATAGAGACTAGTAATGTAGACACCTAAGTTATCCCTGGATATCACAGTAATTATGTGAAATTAAAGACAATAGTAAAAAACTTTTACTCTCAAATTTAAAAAACACAAAATTAGATTGTATATGTCTGATATTTTCTAAGAGGGAATAATACAAAACAAATTTATCATTTTTCTAGAATTTTGGTATCATTTCATCTGCTTCTTTGAATTTTCTTATTTACTTGGGTGGCTGGAGACAGGAGAGGAAAAATAAGTGTTTTGGGGCTCTTGCAATTTAGTTACTATGTGATGGTATCCTTCTTGGTGATCCCTCACCAACCAGCATGAAGTATTATTAATAATCCCCATTAGTTGTGAGTTAAAGCCAGAGAGATTAAAAACTTTTGCCTGAATTCATGTAGCTGGCAAGCATTAAAACTCAAATTTATCCAGATTAATGGAACATTAAGTTGTCAAGCTGATGTGATACACTGTTTATGCAAGTGAAGATGTTGGTTAGAAAGTCACCTGGAGACAAGTAGCTTGGAGGTGACAGAAGAGGAGTCTTTCTGTTCTTTTACTCAGGAGTTTGATATTGAGGGTGGTTGTTGTGAATGACTAGGATCATAATTTCAAATTGGTTTGACCTTGGGACACATCTCTTGTAGAAAACTCAATTACCCCTATTTCTCAAAAACCCTCATCTACATTAATTAGTTCATCATACTAAAAATTACCTTTATTTGGAGAGGAAGAGGAAATTGCAGAGTTCATTATGCAGTCCACTTGGACATAGAGATGGAGAGAGAGTACATTACTATAAATCAGCTTATTCATCTCAATGCCAGCTTTTCCCTGAGACACAGCAAAATCAAACCTGTATGCACATGCATGCACACACACTCACACAAAATAACTTTCGTGCTTGGTTTCCTTACCTTATTAGTCCCAGCTCTGCTCTACTTTGGGGGCTTCCTTTTATGTGGTTCAGATAGTTGATAACATCATACTCTTTCAAGTATTATTTTTCTATATACTGAAATAGCATTCCAGTAGTTCTAGAAATTAGCAGCATAGCTGGAAACTGCCACATTTCCCAATTTCTGAACTATCTTTTCAATTGCATAGATGTTTGGTTTCATTAGCCTGTCTGGGAACCTAGTGACCTAGATGGCATTCATGAATTTCATTACTGGCATTCTTCTAATGCTCATTTTGTTGGCTATTTATTCATCCCTTAACCTTTCTTGATATATGTTTACTTCTGGGTATAGTCAGGGTATTCTACACATTCTCTCCCTTCTGAAAAGTCTGAGGAGCTGTGAAGAAATGTACAGTATTATGTGGAGTTAAGACATGTGATATCAACTTCAATCTAAGGAATTATACAAGTGTCAACTGTGTGGTGGAGAAGTGAAACTTGGAGCCTAGAAAAATTATTTCCAGTTGAGTCACAAAGAGGTGCCATTAAGCTGAGGCTAACGGAAACAAGGAATTCACATGTTATATGTGACAATTGAAGAAGATATACATTCCAGATAAACACATGATTCATGAGAATTCATAGAACAGGAAATCTTGCTGTAAAAACAGTGGATAAGCTACCTTGATCAGAAAATAGTCGAGTGGGGAATAACGGAAGATGAAGTCAGCTGGAATTAAAGCATAGGGCAGTTTTGAAGCTAAGATGTCCAGGGGCTGTCCTGTCAACAATCTTTGCAGTACAAGTCAGTTGGATAAGAGTAATGCTTTAGGATACTATTAATTTGGCAGTGGCTTATAGGACAGACTGTAGGGCAAGACATCTATGTAATTAGAAACTAATATACTATTTCAGACATAATGAAAGTCGGGAAATAGCAAACAGCAGTAAAAAAAGACAAACCTTAGAAAATTAGTAAGGGATCTAAAATCCCTTTTAAAAATCATTAAGTGGCACTTCAGTCATGCTATGTCTTTTAAAGCCTGACACTAAAGGCTGTTATGACCTGACTGTACCAAGGTGCCATTATAACATTTTGGATTTTTAATATAGCCCCACACATACAGCTCTGTGCTGTTTTCTTAAGCAGAAAATCTGCATTCATTTCTATAATGCTTTTTGCTGCCTAAGAACTCACTATAGAAAATCCCGATATACCTGATGAATTAAAGAATTAATGAATTAAGTGACCTTATCTTGTCTATCCAAATAGGACATTTCATACCCTATTGCCCACGAGAGGGATACAGGGTCTATTTATCAGGCCCCTAAAAACCTCAGCTCTCATTGCCTTTATATTTTTGTTCACACTGCTTCCTTTGTCTAAATGCTGACCTCTTTTTTTAATCTACTATGAGATCTTCACAGAGAATGCACCTGAGAATCTACTTTTCTGCCCAATTATAAGGTATTATCCTTTGTTATTTAAATCTGTGGTTACAAGCTAATAATCAATTAGTCTCTTACTATTGAGCTCCAGCTGTTTTCCAAATTAAATCCTCAATTGTCAGAGCACAAGGGTGTTCAACCTACTCTTCTGC